TCCCCAACACCCGGGAAGGGTGAGTGTGGTGGGATGCAGCAGGTCTCGCTCCCTCATTTCACATCTGGCTGAGATCTGAGGCCAGATGTGACACCACACCGAGGGGTGTGACACGGCTCCGAGGGGTGTGACACCGAGGAACAGCCCCGCTTGGATCGGGGACAACATCTCATCGAAGGGCTGGGGCAGAATCGGGCCCTGCTGAGCCTCGCAGCAGCATGGATTTAATTCTGACCTTGCCTTAGAAATACCAACCTGGGTGATAAATCAGGGGAAAGTCCCGAGGCTGTGGGGGAAGAGGTGCTTTGCCCCATAAACTTGGCAGTGGAGGAGCAGGTCCCGTCCCCATCCCCAGGGCCACCTTTCCCGGCTGGGTACAGGGCTCCCTGCCCTGGGGAGGAGGGGGAAGAGCCGTAATTCCTCAGGATGCTTGATATTATCAAGTGCTAATGAGACCTGGATGGGATTGAGGTGCTTTGCGGGCCATTAGCCCAAATTAACCTGACAATGCAGGCGGGGGCCGGTGTCTGAAGGGCGGCTGGGGTGTGTATTGGCTGTCTGGGGCTGGGGGGAGAGAAGGATGCTGCTCTCTGCCTTCCCCCGCTGCCCCTCAGCAAGGGCCCTGCATTTTCCAGGGTTCATTTTCCATCGCACAAACATGCGGTACGGGCTCCCCGAGAGGTTTGACAAGCAAGAGGTGGAATAAGGTGGTAGGGATGGGGAGGATGGGGGCGGCCTCCTCTGCAGGCCCGCGGCTGGGGTAATGTTCTCGGAGGAAAGTCGTCCGTTCCCCAAGTCCTCGTGTCCATCCCATGCTGCTGCTTGCACCAGTGCTTGGGCAGGGGAGCAAACTGGGGAGCGCTCATCTGGAAGGTAACTGTGATCTCAGGAGAACCGTTCCTGTGCCGGGCTCTTGCAGGGGGATGTAGGAGGTTGGCTGTGCTCTCGCCACCTACAACCGGGGCTCCCGTTGCTGTGTAACACCCTCAAAGTGCAGACAGTGCCAACCGCTCCCGTCCTCACCCCAGTTTGGGTTTGTTACTGGGAACTTGCAGGGTGCCGAGGATCCCCAAGGCAAAGCCACCTGTGGCCGGATCCCACTGCAAAGAGGAAAGAGGGGGTTTGCCAGAGCAGTCGAGACCGGCACCTCGTTCTGCGGCTCCCCAGCACCTCCTTGGAGGTGGCAAAGCCAAGGCAGGGTGTCACCCCAGCACGGCTAGGCACTCCCGGAGCAGGGAGCACGGACAGCAGTTATCGTTAGCCTGAGTCGTTTCTCCTTCCTAGACTTTATGATGAACCAACACACACCCGTTATCCTCTGGGGAGAAACCCCGTGCTCCTCTTTTTGCAGTGTAGATGAATCCCTGTTCCCTTCTCTCCATGGGATTCTGTGGGATCCAGCTCGGGAAGGGGCAAATCACCAGCTCCAGGAGCCACGTGATTTGAGGATGTTCCTCGTTGCCATTTTATTATTGATTTATGGATTATTATTTATTAATAGTATAGATTATCGCAGGAGAAATGGCTGCAGAAGTCTGGCACAAGGCTAAACACTAAAGGCAGTGTTCAGCACCCAATTTTTTAAGCCAGTTGTGCTTTTTTAAGGAGTAAAAAGCTTGAGCTCACGATTTCAAACTCCTTAGGTTGGCGGTGCTGGGCTAGTTATCCTAATGAGCACAAGCACACGCCTGTCTAATCAGCGACAGGAGCCCTGCGATCCATCTTCTCTCTAATGGGATGCGACCGCAAGGATGTTCTCGCTTGAAAAGAGGTTTTCCCACTTGCAGAAGGGCTCACGCCCCGGATTACAGATGCACAAAATCCCCCCGTCACGTTTTCGCGTGTGCTTGCTGTGGGTTTGGGGAAATTTCCGCCACTTCTTTCGCCCGCTGGGATGGTTTTGCGGCTGGGAGAGGGATGGAAACGGAGCCGGGCTCTCCCCACCGATGGAGGCGAGGTGTGAAATTTCTCATGGGCAAACAAGTGAGAGCTGCGGGGTGCCCAGAAGAAGGGGGACAGAAAAGAAGAAGGGGGGG